TATTACTTCCATGTATCTATATATATCGAAGCGGTTTTTTTTGGATTATTTCTATCTTCTGCGTTTTCGCAATTCCTTTTTTCAGTAGCATTTTAAAAGGCTGTGGGAGCCTCTTCGGGGCCCTACGCGCCCGCATAGTTTGCTTACTGCTTAATCCGCCGTTCAGGTATACACCACATATGCGTACCACTATTTATAGTAGTACGCATATGTGGTGTATACCTGAACAGCAAAAATTGATGTCAGAATTTCTGCACGCTTTTTACAACCTCGAGACTAAGATTTTATTCGGGAGTTACCATTTTCAATTTAATAATTTTAAAAAAATCCTCGGGAAGATGATTTATTTTTGTTACAAAATGTTGCCTTTACAGATTTCTAGCTCTGCACACTGTAGAAAAAATCTAGAAATACAGTTTTATATATCGTAATAATATTAGTAGTTGCCAGAAAGCTCTATAAAGTAGAGAAAAATTTGTAAATTTGAAAACTATAAACATAAATTTAAATTTCTCAAAAAATAAATTAAAAAATATCAAAAGTCGCTACTTTTGGCTGATTTGTCTGAGATCTCTGCTACCTCACTACGTCCCTCTAAAAGTCGCCACAGTTGGGAACACTGATGAGCAGACATCTAGGGTCTAAGTAAGGCGAAATGTAATCGCCAAACCGCGCTGTAAAAAAAAATTTTAATATAAAAATATAATTTCTTGTGAACAGCAGTTTGGGGCCCCCTTCCAAGTGGGCCTGTGCGGGTGCACCTGTTGCACCTGCCTAGTTACGGCTCTGGCCTTGTGCATAAAACGTTTACCGATCAGTAAGTTGCGGTGTCGTTGATTGACGTTAATTACCAATCATTTCGAATGCATAATATTTTTACTGATTACCTGATGTTAATTATAAGGTAAGACATTGGTAAGGTTGCTGATACCATGTTGTGGTTAAAAATGGTGCAGACAATATGGTGGAATGTCCATACGATAAAAATTCTCCGTTCGTTCTTCGCGCTTATCTACATAACTAAATGATAACTAAGATGTTCATTATAATATCCTAAACATAGATTCAAATAAGATAATTTTACTATTTGTTGTTCAATAATAAAATTTTAAATAATTATAAACATTTATAAAATTTCAAAAATTTCATAAATAACTTTGTTTTTTATTGCAAGTGGCGGTAAAAATTCGATTTACTTTTAGATGCTTTATGTTTAGATGTAAATCTTTTAGCAATTTTATGTTGAACTGAATTTAACAACTTAAGTTCAACATAAGATTTTAATCATCCTTTTTTTAAAAGTTTTCTAACTTAGTAATTTATTGTTTATACTGAACTGTTAACCTCTTTAGAGATGTTCGGGTATTATCTGATAAGATAGTCTTAAAATAAACTATAAACAAATGCACAAACGAAAGTAAAAATTATAGCATCAGCACAATATGAGAAGAATTTTTAGTCTATATATCTTTTTAATAATCAATGTAATTATAATAGAAAAGAAAGTAATAAAAGAAAAAGTAGTAAGTAAAACTTTTTACTTTGTAGATAAACAGATTCATATTAGAATATTAGCAATTAATAAAGTAAAATTTAAGATAAATGGCATAAAAAAATAATTTAGTTTTAATAATATTATATTAAATTTAAAAGTTGGTGATATTAATAATTGCAATTCATTATCAAAATAATGAAATTTAAAAAATCAAAGAGAATGTATTAGGATGTTAGCATGAAACTTTTTACGATAATGACAGCGAGTTTGGTTTAATCATCGCTGCAAACTTATAATAGTTAGAAAACTGTATCATATTTCTTTTAAAAATAATCATTTTTCGGATTATATTAAACATCTAAGTATATAGGCCTACTTCTAGTACGAATCTATTTTGAAGAATGATGAAACTGTGATCCAGATTCATCGGACTGCTCAATGTACAATCTTAGCTGAAGAAATAATTCGAGTAAAAAGAGATAACGATAAAGAACTTGGTAAAAAAAAATTATATAGAATGCACTTTATTTATTATCTCATGTTTAATAATTAAAATAAAGAATATGTTTTAGGATCTAACCAGACTGAAAATTACAGTTTCGTTAGTCATTCATTCAATGCATCTGATCCCGAAACAATGGAGAATCTTTATTTGGAAATTGTTATTGCTGCAGATCATTCTGTCATTGAATTTCATCAAAAAGAAAAAACTCGTGATTATATTTTAACTATGATGAATATCGTAAGTTCTAATTTGATATCACAGGAGCTATTTATTCTACTAACTGATCCACTTATTGAATGATAAATTTCTTAGGTTAATCAACTTTTCAGAGATCCATCTTTAAATATCAACTTGAAATTATTCGTTAAAGAAATTTTACTGCTGGAAAAGTCAGAGGTAAACATTTATCATATATTAATCTATTGGGGCTATCTAGTTTTACTGATGTCATAATCTGGTTTTTTTTTATGTTTATTTTATTTCAAGGTAAATTTAGTCATAAGTGGAAATTCTCACAAAAGTTTAGATCGAATATGCCAATGGTTTTATCAATCTTTTAACGAAAGTAATATTGATGATTATGATTTGGGTATCTTTTTGACAAAATTCTCTCTAGGAGGACCGTCAGGTACAATATATAAAAATCTCAAAATTCCAAAATATTACCGATAAAGTTTCAAAGTAAACTTAATTAATTAATCTGGATTTTTCATTGAATAACTTTTAACATTTTATAACAGGTTATGCTCCTATTAATGGGCTCTGTAGCAAACGGAGAAGCTGCACTTTAAATAGAGATGAAGGACTCTCGTCAGCTTTAATAATTGCTCACGAAATAGGACATGTGTTAGTGATAATTTGTTTAAAAATTTCTCAATAATCAAAATTTTCTCTAGTACAAGTACGAATAATAGATAGATATTGATAGCTAAGGGAAAATCAACACAGCTTACACTTTGATATAAGCATTTTCTTTATATTATTTATATTAAAAAAATTGGTATACTCGAATTGCGAAGAAGTAATAAATTTAATCATTAAAATAATCCTAAACTTATTTTATTATATTTATAGCTTAAATTTTTATATCAAACTCTGATATTGCATCGTATTGATCAATAATAAAGTGGTCATCATGCTATATAATTCTCGAATTTTTGAGAATGTATTTAAAATTTTTATAGCGTAAACTACATATCGATACATTTTTATCCTAGATAAAAATACTTTTCTATAGTTTAGGTTTGCAACATGATGGCGAAGGCAACGATTGTGAAGCAGGGACATACGAAGGAAGTATTATGTCACCTATAGTTAGGGCAACGTTTCAAAGGTATCACTGGTCATCATGTAGTCGAGAAAAGCTAAAAACTCATATTGGGTACGAAATAATATATAATTATTTCGATTTGTATTCAAATTAATCGTAATATACATAGCATTAACTAATATAAAATGCCTACAGAAATTTCGAATGTTTAAAAGATAAACCCGATAACATATCTGAAAGCAATGATTTGCAGAAAGCATTTTATTCTCTGGATGAACAATGCCGTCAAGAATTTGGATACAATTACACACTTTGCAAATCTGTAAGTGTTTCCTTACGCTTTTTAATTTAAAAATATACATAAAATATAATGTGTTAAAAATAAAATACGTATTAATGAACAAAGACCATTGTAAAAAACGAATGTTACAGGTATTTTATTTTATTAAATGCTTAGTAACAACCTTCTTTATATATGCAATGTCTATATAACAATAAAACTAAACTGAAAAAAGTATTATAACAGCCAAATTTGGAAGGAAAACTTCATATAAACTTCTATTATTACTATATATATTTATAATTTCTATTATTATATAAACTTCTAGAATTAAAGACGTATGGTTCTATTATTTAAATGCTTTGAACCACACGTATTTAATTAAATATTTTCCCGTAATTTAGTTAAAAGCTATCTACATTCATAAGAACTTTTAAATATTTTTCATATAGCTTCCAAGGTTGTTACTGATAAATAACAATGATTTATTTCTATTAGCTATAAATATTTATTCATAATTTCCTCTCAAAAATGTTTATTCATAAGAACAAGTTACTCGAAAATGTTTTGAAGAAGAGCTTTAAGAATATTCATCTTCCTAATAAGTCTATAATGAATTACTTTAATAACATTCTTAACTAATAAAACTGATCAATTTTAATTATAATTTGATATTAGTTCTGTACATTAGCCAACATTTACTTTACAGTTAAATACATTTTACAGTGTTAAATGACTATAGTTTAATTACAAATACTGTATTTTTAATCAGTTAGGAATTCGATTTTAAATTTAAACATATTTCAAGTTTCAGCCTTCTAATGTTTGTAACCAGTTATGGTGTGGTCAATTTACAAATCCATCGTTTTGTAAGTCCAAAAGCAATCCACCGCTTCAAGGCACAATTTGCGGATCTCAAAAGGTAGTTCATCATTAGCGTGTATTATATAAAAGTGAAACTTAAAAGTCTTGAAAACATTTTATTATTTTGAGATTATATCAGAGGTGTTATCAAGGATATTGTCTACCTATAGAAACCAAATTAGACGATTTGATTCATCATAATCCTCAAAATGGTCAATGGGGAACTTGGAGTGAATTTACGCCTTGCTCTAGAAGTTGTGGTATTGGAATTCGTTTTAGAATTCGTAAATGTGATAATCCCAGGTATAATAGCTTTAGGATTTCAATATTTAGTAGAAAATTAATTTTATAAATATAGAAAAACATATTAATTGTTATTGTTCATTTAGACCTCTGTATGGTGGAAAATATTGCACAGGAAAGTCTGAAGAGTTTAAAATTTGTAATATTGAGGTAATTCTAAACAATTTTATTCTTCATTTAAAAGATAAACTCTTAATAATCAAAAAATTGTTTTGAATATTTATTTCAGAGCTGTCCATTTTTAACAGACTTTCGTGAAGAGCAATGTTTTCAAATTCAGAAATATATGAAACTTAGCTCTAAGCAATCTCAACTTACATGGTTACCATTTGAACCGGAAAATAGTAATCTCTATTTAATTTACTTAAAATTACACTCGTGCACTGTTGTATTATTAAGTTATGATTTAGATATATATTTTTGAAAATTTTAGTTTCATTAAAATGTAAGTTAACGTGCATGTCTAAAGAAACAAAAGAATTGTTATTTGGAGAGAATGTTATTGATGGTACATATTGCTCTTATGACAACAGAAACAGCATTTGTATTCAGGGACATTGCATGGTAACTATAAAACAATTCTTGTGAGATTATTATAAATAAATAAAGTGTTTTAATATTTAATATTGTATATATATCAAAATAATCAAAATTTTAAAATAAATATTATTANCTCAATTTACCCGCCTAAACTCTCCGTAGCGTGGCGCTGGACGGCGGAAAGTAGTTCGGCTGCCCGATGACGTTTTACCGAATTATAGGAGTTTTTTTTACCATGTTTGTACGGATACCGTCGCAATTTTTTCGCCGTCATATAGGAATCCGAACTATAGGAACCCGTTTTATAGGGGGGTCGACTATACTCCAATGTATTTTATCGAAAAAATGCTTTTATAATAGAAAAATATGACCTCCATCAACAATATATATTCCAGCAGCTCTTTTTCGATATTCTCAAGAAGAATTGGCTTTCTACCTAGTGTCTTTGTCACAAATTGCTCCGGACGAATGTCTGCTTGCAAAGAGAGAGTTCGGAGGAGTTGGGTTCCATATTAAAAGCACCAATGGAGTCCGTGCTTTTAATATGGAAAATTCCATTTTCGGTTAACTTAATTCCTGTCGACACCAAACTTTAAAAATGTAAACATCAGATAGATTAATATGTACTCCTAAGTCTCTGGAACGGAATACATGCACTAGTGAATCTGCAACTACATGATTTATATTTTAGAAATAATTAAATTCATTTAGCATTTAAAACTTTCGAATTTCGAAAAACACAAATACGCTGATTCACTACGGACAACCGTTTAACTGAAGTGAAACGGGTTTTCCCTTTGCTATATATGTCTGCCTAGTGCAGTTCAGTCACAATCCGCTACAGTTCGACTTTATTATTAGTTTGAAATGGAGGGGTTCCATAATACCACCTTTTCCTCTACGATTATATTACGCTAATGTGTTCGTATTATTGTCTGATATCAGTTATCATAAGCATTTTTTAAATAGTGTATTATGGTTTAATAAATATATTAAGATTTAGTCATTCCAATTTATTACTAAAATGTAAATTTTTCAGATTCTCATACTGTTCTCCTAATACTACCTTGATCAGTGATGAAACTATTGTGTTACAAGAAAAAGAATGCAAGCTCTGATGTATTAATGAAATGTATTTTGAATAAAATTTTTTGAAAATGTAACGAAGTCTCTATAATTCATTATCGTTCAAGAGCCTTGTGCAGAGCCGTAACTAGCCATTCCTGTGCCCTGTGCAAGAATTTGCATTTAGGCCCCTTAATTTATTTGGTTTTGGGAAAATAATAAAACAAATACATTACAATCGATTTTTAATAAGATTTATTTTAATTGAATTTTTCTGGCTTTCATTTCAGCAAATTCATTAATTACACCATCATAATTAATATTTTTAACGATATTGTATTCTATTGAAATAATAGAAATATTGGATAATCGTTCTTGTCCGATAGTTGATCTTAAATAATTTTTTATTAAGTTTAACTTGCTAAAACTTCTCTCGCACGAAGCAATAGAAACGGGAAGAGTTAGAAATATTCGAAGAGCGACATTGATATTTGGGTAAGACTCAATTAAACCAAAATCATGAAGAGCCTGTAGAATATTAAGCGGAGATGCAGTTTCTATATTTTGTATAAGAGTCGTTACTTCAAAATTAAAACTTTCAATTTCACTTGTGAATTCGTACTTTTTTAAATCTTTGCTATATTTAATAGCGAGATCTGCAGCCGATTTTTTTAAATCAGCAACACTCATGTATTGTAAAGACGAGCCACAGAGAAAGCAAAAATCGTCACAGATAGTTTTCATTTTTTCATAACGCCAATCTATTTGACACAATAGAGTGTCAAGAACACTGTAAATTTGTATTTTAAATAATTTTTCGGGTGTCAAGTTACTTCCTTCATCTGGTGTTTTATCTATTTCCATTATCTTAACTTTTTTTTTTCGTTTATTAAGAAATCCCTTTTCTATACTTTTTGGTTTGTTTTAAGAATATGATCAATAATAGCATCTGTTAATATTGTTGGCCATAAAGCTATATCATTTATTACTTCCATGTATCTATATATATCGAAGCGGTTTTTTTTGGATTATTTCTATCTTCTGCGTTTTCGCAATTCCTTTTTTCAGTAGCATTTTAAAAGGCTGTGGGAGCCTCTTCGGGGCCCTACGCGCCCGCATAGTTTGCTTACTGCTTAATCCGCCGTTCAGGTATACACCACATATGCGTACCACTATTTATAGTAGTACGCATATGTGGTGTATACCTGAACAGCAAAAATTGATGTCAGAATTTCTGCACGCTTTTTACAACCTCGAGACTAAGATTTTATTCGGGAGTTACCATTTTCAATTTAATAATTTTAAAAAAATCCTCGGGAAGATGATTTATTTTTGTTACAAAATGTTGCCTTTACAGATTTCTAGCTCTGCACACTGTAGAAAAAATCTAGAAATACAGTTTTATATATCGTAATAATATTAGTAGTTGCCAGAAAGCTCTATAAAGTAGAGAAAAATTTGTAAATTTGAAAACTATAAACATAAATTTAAATTTCTCAAAAAATAAATTAAAAAATATCAAAAGTCGCTACTTTTGGCTGATTTGTCTGAGATCTCTGCTACCTCACTACGTCCCTCTAAAAGTCGCCACAGTTGGGAACACTGATGAGCAGACATCTAGGGTCTAAGTAAGGCGAAATGTAATCGCCAAACCGCGCTGTAAAAAAAAATTTTAATATAAAAATATAATTTCTTGTGAACAGCAGTTTGGGGCCCCCTTCCAAGTGGGCCTGTGCGGGTGCACCTGTTGCACCTGCCTAGTTACGGCTCTGGCCTTGTGCATAAAACGTTTACCGATCAGTAAGTTGCGGTGTCGTTGATTGACGTTAATTACCAATCATTTCGAATGCATAATATTTTTACTGATTACCTGATGTTAATTATAAGGTAAGACATTGGTAAGGTTGCTGATACCATGTTGTGGTTAAAAATGGTGCAGACAATATGGTGGAATGTCCATACGATAAAAATTCTCCGTTCGTTCTTCGCGCTTATCTACATAACTAAATGATAACTAAGATGTTCATTATAATATCCTAAACATAGATTCAAATAAGATAATTTTACTATTTGTTGTTCAATAATAAAATTTTAAATAATTATAAACATTTATAAAATTTCAAAAATTTCATAAATAACTTTGTTTTTTATTGCAAGTGGCGGTAAAAATTCGATTTACTTTTAGATGCTTTATGTTTAGATGTAAATCTTTTAGCAATTTTATGTTGAACTGAATTTAACAACTTAAGTTCAACATAAGATTTTAATCATCCTTTTTTTAAAAGTTTTCTAACTTAGTAATTTATTGTTTATACTGAACTGTTAACCTCTTTAGAGATGTTCGGGTATTATCTGATAAGATAGTCTTAAAATAAACTATAAACAAATGCACAAACGAAAGTAAAAATTATAGCATCAGCACAATATGAGAAGAATTTTTAGTCTATATATCTTTTTAATAATCAATGTAATTATAATAGAAAAGAAAGTAATAAAAGAAAAAGTAGTAAGTAAAACTTTTTACTTTGTAGATAAACAGATTCATATTAGAATATTAGCAATTAATAAAGTAAAATTTAAGATAAATGGCATAAAAAAATAATTTAGTTTTAATAATATTATATTAAATTTAAAAGTTGGTGATATTAATAATTGCAATTCATTATCAAAATAATGAAATTTAAAAAATCAAAGAGAATGTATTAGGATGTTAGCATGAAACTTTTTACGATAATGACAGCGAGTTTGGTTTAATCATCGCTGCAAACTTATAATAGTTAGAAAACTGTATCATATTTCTTTTAAAAATAATCATTTTTCGGATTATATTAAACATCTAAGTATATAGGCCTACTTCTAGTACGAATCTATTTTGAAGAATGATGAAACTGTGATCCAGATTCATCGGACTGCTCAATGTACAATCTTAGCTGAAGAAATAATTCGAGTAAAAAGAGATAACGATAAAGAACTTGGTAAAAAAAAATTATATAGAATGCACTTTATTTATTATCTCATGTTTAATAATTAAAATAAAGAATATGTTTTAGGATCTAACCAGACTGAAAATTACAGTTTCGTTAGTCATTCATTCAATGCATCTGATCCCGAAACAATGGAGAATCTTTATTTGGAAATTGTTATTGCTGCAGATCATTCTGTCATTGAATTTCATCAAAAAGAAAAAACTCGTGATTATATTTTAACTATGATGAATATCGTAAGTTCTAATTTGATATCACAGGAGCTATTTATTCTACTAACTGATCCACTTATTGAATGATAAATTTCTTAGGTTAATCAACTTTTCAGAGATCCATCTTTAAATATCAACTTGAAATTATTCGTTAAAGAAATTTTACTGCTGGAAAAGTCAGAGGTAAACATTTATCATATATTAATCTATTGGGGCTATCTAGTTTTACTGATGTCATAATCTGGTTTTTTTTTATGTTTATTTTATTTCAAGGTAAATTTAGTCATAAGTGGAAATTCTCACAAAAGTTTAGATCGAATATGCCAATGGTTTTATCAATCTTTTAACGAAAGTAATATTGATGATTATGATTTGGGTATCTTTTTGACAAAATTCTCTCTAGGAGGACCGTCAGGTACAATATATAAAAATCTCAAAATTCCAAAATATTACTGATAAAGTTTCAAAGTAAACTTAATTAATTAATCTGGATTTTTCATTGAATAACTTTTAACATTTTATAACAGGTTATGCTCCTATTAATGGGCTCTGTAGCAAACGGAGAAGCTGCACTTTAAATAGAGATGAAGGACTCTCGTCAGCTTTAATAATTGCTCACGAAATAGGACACGTGTTAGTGATAATTTGTTTAAAATTTCTCAAAAATCAAAATTTTCTCTAGTACAAGTACGAATAATAGATAGATATTGATAGCTAAGGGAAAATCAACACAGCTTACACTTTGATATAAGCATTTTCTTTATATTATTTATATTAAAAAAATTGGTATACTCGAATTGCGAAGAAGTAATAAATTTAATCATTAAAATAATCCTAAACTTATTTTATTATATTTATAGCTTAAATTTTTATATCAAACTCTGATATTGCATCGTATTGATCAATAATAAAGTGGTCATCATGCTATATAATTCTCGAATTTTTGAGAATGTATTTAAAATTTTTATAGCGTAAACTACATATCGATACATTTTTATCCTAGATAAAAATACTTTTCTATAGTTTAGGTTTGCAACATGATGGCGAAGGCAACGATTGTGAAGCAGGGACATACGAAGGAAGTATTATGTCACCTATAGTTAGGGCAACGTTTCAAAGGTATCACTGGTCATCATGTAGTCGAGAAAAGCTAAAAACTCATATTGGGTACGAAATAATATTTAATTATTTCGATTTGTATTCAAATTAATCGTAGTATACATAGCATTAACTAATATAAAATGCCTACAGAAATTTCGAATGTTTAAAAGATAAATCCGATAACATATCTGAAAGCAATGATTTGCAGAAAGCATTTTATTCTCTGGATGAACAATGCCGTCAAGAATTTGGATATAATTACACACTTTGCAAATCTGTAAGTTTTTCCTTACGCTTTTTAATTTAAAAAATATACATAAAATATAATGTCTTAAAAATAAAATATGCATTAACGAACAAAGGTCATTGTAAAAAACAAATGTTACAGGTATTTTATTTTATTAAATGCTTAGTAACAACCTTCTTTATATATGCAATGTCTATATAACAATAAAACTAAACTGAAAAAAGTATTATAACAGTCAAATTTGGAAGGAAAACTTCATATAAACTTCTATTATTACTATATATATTTATAATTTTTATTATTATATAAACTTCTAGAATTAAAGACGTATGGTTCTATTATTTAAATGCTTCAATAATAAAACCACACGTCTTTAATTAAATATTTTCCCGTAATTTAGTTGAAGGCTATCTACATTCATAAGAATTTTTAAATATTTTTCTTATAGCTTCCAAGGTTGTTACTGATAAATAACAATGATTTATTTCTATTAGCTATAAATATTTATTCATAATTTCCTCTCAAAAATGTTTATTCATAAGAACAAGTTACTCGAAAATGTTTTGAAGAAGAGCTTTAAGAATATTCATCTTCCTAATAAGTCTATAATGAATTACTTTAATAACATTCTTAACTAATAAAACTGATCAATTTTAATTATAATTTGATATTAGTTCTGTACATTAGCCAACATTTACTTTACAGTTAAATACATTTTACAGTGTTAAATGACTATAGTTTAATTACAAATACTGTATTTTTAATCAGTTAGGAATTCAATTTTAAATTTAAACATATTTCAAGTTTCAGCCTTCTAATGTTTGTAACCAGTTATGGTGTGGTCAATTTACAAATCCATCGTTTTGTAAGTCCAAAAGCAATCCACCGCTTCAAGGCACAATTTGCGGATCTCAAAAGGTAGTTCATCATTAGCGTGTATTATATAAAAGTGAAACTTAAAAGTCTTGAAAACATTTTATTATTTTGAGATTATATCAGAGGTGTTATCAAGGATATTGTCTACCTATAGAAACCAAATTAGACGATTTGATTCATCATAATCCTCAAAATGGTCAATGGGGAACTTGGAGTGAATTTACGCCTTGCTCTAGAAGTTGTGGTATTGGAATTCGTTTTAGAATTCGTAAATGTGATAATCCCAGGTATAATAGCTTTAGGATTTCAATATTTAGTAGAAAATTAATTTTATAAATATAGAAAAACATATTAATTGTTATTGTTCATTTAGACCTCTGTATGGTGGAAAATATTGCACAGGAAAGTCTGAAGAGTTTAAAATTTGTAATATTGAGGTAATTCTAAACAATTTTATTCTTCATTTAAAAGATAAACTCTTAATAATCAAAAAATTATTTTGAATATTTATTTCAGAGCTGTCCATTTTTAACAGACTTTCGTGAAGAGCAATGTTTTCAAATTCAGAAATATATGAAACTTAGCTCTAAGCAATCTCAACTTACATGGTTACCATTTGAACCGGAAAATAGTAATCTCTATTTAATTTACTTAAAATTACACTCGTGCACTGTTGTATTATTAAGTTATGATTTAGATATATATTTTTGAAAATTTTAGTTTCATTAAAATGTAAGTTAACGTGCATGTCTAAAGAAACAAAAGAATTGTTATTTGGAGAGAATGTTATTGATGGTACATATTGCTCTTATGACAACAGAAACAGCATTTGTATTCAGGGACATTGCATGGTAACTATAAAACAATTCTTGTGAGATTATTATAAATAAATAAAGTGTTTTAATATTTAATATTGTATATATATCAAAATAATAAAAATTTTAAAATAAATATTATTAATAGCTGCCTGAAAAATTTAGTAGAGAATGTCAAGAGAAACGTTATTTAAAACAGTAGCTTAATAACAATTTCTTCTCATTAATAATAATAATTTTAATTAAATAATTATTTTACTTTAGAAAATTGGTTGCGATAAAATATTAAATTCGCAGAAGGAAGAAGATTTGTGTGGAATTTGTGGAGGAAATAGCATGCTTTGTAAATCCGTAAATAAAATATATATGAAAATCCCTACGAAATGTAAATATCATTATTAATTTTATAATTTTAAGCTTTTTAAATAATAGTAAATTATAAGTAAAACCGTGAATATTTTAAATTGTTATTGAAGTGTTTATAGTTTTCTATATAGTATGAAAGAAAGAATTTCATGAAAATTATGGTTTTAATGTTGGTATAGAGATAAAGTTTGGCACTCGTAGAGAAAAGTAAAATAATCCTAGATGACTTCATATTTTTATTACTAATTTAATAAATAAAAGTAAAAAACATTGGTAATTCATATGAAAATTGAATTTGGTAAATAGTTCTAGAGATTGAATTTAACTACAGTTTACGATAGCTGCAGACTGTCTAGGACCATCGAGAAGGGACGGAAGTTGAGTACTTTCTCCCGGACCCGAGAAAACTTACAGACTCAAAGTGCTTCCCATCGCTATAAAATTAATGTTATTTTTACTGACAGAAAATAAAATCTTTAAGACTGTTTTTATTAATAAAAAACATTCTATGCATTTCATTTGTTCAAAAAGCAATCATTACCTCCGGTCATTATACAAACATTGGTTGTATAAGGACTGGACTTGGTTGTATAATGTAATAATCGACGACCTTGGTTGTCCTATTTTTTCCCATTTTCAATATAAACTGCTTTTCGCAAGTGGTCATAAGGCTGCGTTCATAGCCTGATGTTCAATACTAAATTTAATAATGCTGTTTTAAGAATCTCGTAAAATACGTTAAAACTTTAAAGATTTATATTGCATACAAGTGAGGAAATTTCCTATCTTAAGAAAAAACGATTACAATATAACATTATTTTAAAATAACATTATCAGCCTTGAGCACATAAATAAATTTAATATGTTTGAATAAAACGCTATACAGGGATCAATTAATAAAAAAATTAAGATTTGTAAAAATTTTATATATTTAAAATTGAATGATATACTTTTTGAGGTTGAAAATAATAAGAATAATACTAGTGTTATTAATTAAATACTGTAATTTTATGCTAGTTATAACGCGTTTTTATAATTTAAATATAAATAAGGAATTTTTTTTTATTTAATAGACTACATTTAAATTAAAAATAACAAATGGAAAGATTCTTAGTTATGCTTTGACAGATCTTTTAAGAATTTAAATTTTAAATTGTCAAAGAGTCTGCTTATTTGGAATTTATATAGAAGTTATAAAGCCTATATTGTACTGTAATGTACAGTACTCCTATAACGTGAATTTGTTTTAATGATAGGCCTCAGAGCGCAACTATCGCATTGTGCAGTATATAACAATAGATAAAATATTGTAAGCATATACAATAAATAAATGAAGTTTATTGAATAGATAAACTACTGCATTCAGATTGAGTAGTTAATTACAAAAACGCTTAATCTAGTAATAAGATGTTAATCATAATAACAATGAAATAAAAGAAATAAAAAACACATTTGATATTTCTGAGTAATCCTTAAAGAAAAAGGAAGAAATTAAACTGAAGTCAGCTTTCATGTTTTCATGTGAAAAGTAGTAAACCTACAGCTTTCATGCTGTAGGTTTACTACTCTCCGCTCGTTTGTTTTGATTGACATACAGTAGTTGTCGTGAATGAAATGTAGGCTAACTGTATTTAACTCTTTATTCATGCTGTAGGTTTACTACTTTCCGCTCGTTTGTTTTGATTGACATACAGTAGTTGTCGTGAANGTTTTTTTTGGATTATTTCTATCTTCTGCGTTTTCGCAATTCCTTTTTTCAGTAGCATTTTAAAAGGCTGTGGGAGCCTCTTCGGGGCCCTACGCGCCCGCATAGTTTGCTTACTGCTTAATCCGCCGTTCAGGTATACACCACATATGCGTACCACTATTTATAGTAGTACGCATATGTGGTGTATACCTGAACAGCAAAAATTGATGTCAGAATTTCTGCACGCTTTTTACAACCTCGAGACTAAGATTTTATTCGGGAGTTACCATTTTCAATTTAATAATTTTAAAAAAATCCTCGGGAAGATGATTTATTTTTGTTACAAAATGTTGCCTTTACAGATTTCTAGCTCTGCACACTGTAGAAAAAATCTAGAAATACAGTTTTATATATCGTAATAATATTAGTCGTCGCCAGAGAGCTCTATAAAGTAGAGAAATATCTATAAATTTGAAAACTATAAACATAAATTTAAATTTCTCAAAANATTTAATTTTCAAGATTATTATTAATCTCTTATTTACAGCTTATAGTATAGTCACAACTCTTCCTGTCGGTGCGCATCACATTGAAATAAAAGAAGAAACAAATACAGATAGTTTTCTTGGTATGAATTTCCCGTTATAAATACAATAAATAAATTAATATAATTATTTTTGTTGACTTTAAATGTGTATAGTCGAGTCCACTTAAGAGAGCACCTTCCGGATCGCTGCGTTATGCTCCCTTATCGGAAGTCACTCAGAAGGTTATTCTTTTCATTCTTTATGTCTTAAGATCTCTATATCTCATAACACAGTTGGAAATGTTAAAATTCATTAGCCCATAATTGTTACTGTCCTTATTAGTTTCATTCATATATCAACAATTTTACCGTTTTATCGATTAATCAATAAATATAGTAGTCTATACAGTATTTAACAGTCAGATAACTTTTGCTTCATTCTAGAAATACAGTAGGATGCCTAGCTAAAAAGATGTCGACTGCCTGGTGGCTGAGCGGTTAAAGATAAACCTTTATAGTGATTTATAAGGGTCTATCCTTAAAATAGTGCTGCCTTACGCTAGCTGTTGCTCTAAAAATGAAGCCGACAATGCGCTCGTCTAAACAGACTGCTTTACTATCCTGTGCTCTGTTAACTGGAGTCCCGCTAACGTAAAAAGCGAAAAGTGCTCTCTTAGTGAATTGATTCCTTATCCGATCCTCTGTTGAGTGGACTTGATTGTATCTTAATTCTAATGTATCGCTGTACTTCTATATCGGGAATGACGAACTTTTTGAATCTGTGGGTCGAAAACAGGCATATTAACTTATAAAAATATTTGTCTGTAATGAAGCTTTAGAGTTCGAACAACTATTTTAAAAGAAATCAAATGAATAAAATTTAGTTTCAATATATTTAAGAAAAATTAATTGGAAAAAAGATGATTAGCCCATAAACTGAACTAAATGTAAATACAGAAGAAGAAGCAGAAACAAAGATAAACTGAAAATATAGCCTGTTGTAAAAATTAAACATTTCCAGGCAAATTAGCTACTTTGTGCACATTGTCATATGTTTGCATTCCTGTTCTATAGGGTACTTACCGTACTTTTCTTAAGATATTTATTATTTGCTGTTTTAAAGATTATTATAAATTGGTATGAAACACGTAAAGCCACAAGTATTATCTCTAAAAATATACTATCTAAAGAAAGAAAAATCAAACTGAAATGTTTAGTGTTTTATTATATCTCCATTGAAAGACATAAAATTCAAAATTGCACGAATGTTCGGTGTCTAAAGTAACGATCTTATTTTGCAAAGCAAATTGTCCAATCAAATCTGAGCGCTTTAAAATCGCTACTTTTTTTATTTTGAAAATTTGAAATTTCAACAAACACATCTGCTGTGGCAAATTACCGAGCCAATCAAATTTATAAATTCGTATATATCTTATGTATCTCCTAATTTGGAACTAAACATTCATACTTCATAAATTTCACTGTAATTGAATCACGTATTGACTATTCTGGTCACTGATAGTGGCTAGTTAATGTTTCAAAAATGCAATATATCTGTAGAAAACTGATAATAAATATAAAACCTATGCTTAATGTTTAATTAATTAAGAATTTCTGAAATTTAAAATATAATTTATTCATTAATTGATCTCGCAAATAAGTAGATTATTAACAAATATTAATGCATGTTGTAGAACACCTGTTTGTGATATATTATAAATTATTATATTACAGCATTAAAGCTGAGAAATAAAGAATTTATTTTAAATGGAAATAATAACCAGAATAAATCTACAGTGGTAATTCATGCTGGAACAAAATTCATTTATCAAATTGAAGGAGGATATGAATTTCTACGAGCGAAGGGACCTCTTCTTACAGAAGTAATTGTTATGGTGGGCTAAATTAACAATAGTATATCTATTGATTTTTTTCAAATTTTATATTTGATTAATCCAAATATTTATATAATAACTTTTCTTAGATTAATCCATCGATTATTAAAGTTCCTGTTTTAGTTTCAACTAATTACACAATAGCAGTAAAGAAAGGATTGGATTCTGTAACTTCCATTCAACAGCATTTTCAATGGGAATCAAAGAAGTGGTTGCCATGTTCCCAGTCATGTGGAGGAGGTATTTATTTTTCTCTTATAATTTCTTATAAGAGATAAGAAAATATTTTAAGTCTACTATTAAACATTTGTATGTATTTTGATATCTTTATTATCCAATGCTTATTATTCCATACGTTCTTCAATTTTAGGAGTGCAGTACAAAGGACTAATTTGTCGAGACAGAAGAACAGACAAAAGAGTCAAATGGAAAAATTGTGATTTGCTCACCAAACCAGTTCCGCAACAACGCGTCTGTAATTTAATATCATGTACTTTTAGGTAATAACATAATTTAATAATGAGTTCAATGAGCTTGTAAATATTTGTATTAAAGTTGAATTGATTTTTTAGATGGTTAACACGAGAATGGGAACCTTGCACACATACTTGCGGAATGTACGGAATTCAAAATCGAGAAATTCATTGTGTTTTAACTAATAATACAAAAATTATAGTACCACCAAATTTTTGTTTGGAAACAAAACCAAGTACTACAAATTCTTGTAATCGAGTGTTATGTCCTTCTGAATGGATTATGGAATCTTGGTCAGAGGTAATTTTTTAACACGATATGTACTTAATGATCGTAATCATTTTTTAAATCTGATTTTAACGTAATGAAAAAATACATAATTTTCAGTGTTCTGCTTCATGTGGTAATGGGACGCAAATTAGAAATGCAATTTGTAATAAAAGTAACGAATTTTCTGAATGTCCTCCTCCATCACCACCCACAATAAGGCATTGCAAAATAATAGAATGCTCAGGTATTAAAATAAGAACTGAATTTTAATTTTTAAATCTAGAAGTAAAATACACTTACTGTATTTCAATAAATTATACTGTAATAATACAATATAATAATATGCTGCAGTTGCGAGATAATTGGAAATTATGCTTAAGCGAAACTAAAATTTTACTAAGCTATTTTTTCATCATAGAAAGTTAAATGTGTCAAATTTGAATAAGTCAGTAAATTTTAATAAAATATTCTGATTCTATTGCATAAAATTTCAACAAACCCTTAAATAATATCTTACAAAATTCTAAACAATCACAAAATACTTAAATATATACGACCATTTTAAATGACGTTAAAGAAAAGAATTGTTCATTAATTAACAAAACGAAATATCTTTGAACTTCTATGAATTCATCTTGATGACAATCTCTACTGTTGATCAAACCAAAGTCGTATATTTATCAGCTTGAACAATCTTGTAATTCTTATTTTAAACTAAATTTTTTAATTAAAAGAATTGATAATTTTTTAACATACTTATTCATATATTTTCTCTAACTTCGAATTACCTTTTACTTTCGTGATATCTAGTGTATATTTTTTTCCTTGTTGCTACGTTTCAAAGACTCTTATCTGTGATTAAAATCAGGTAAATACATGTACCTGTTTAAGTCCAGAATAAGAAAAAATTTTGCTAATAAATCTCTTTTAATAAATAATCAAAAATAATTTACATTGAATATAAGATTACGAAAATTCAAAAAATTAATGAAAATCTTTATGATATTAAGATGTTTTCAAGTTTACGTAACAGTAGGATCGAGTTTACTTTAAAAATATTCAGTAGCTATTTTTGCTTAAATGAAACTAAAAATAATTTATTTTCTTTTCAGAATCCTGCATAGAAGATAAATCTATATTTTGTAAAATATTTACATTGAGCCGTTACTGTAGACACTCCTCTTTTCGAAACATATGTTGCATGACCTGTCAAAAATACGTATCATTAATTCATTTGCAAAATACCGCTTAAATAGTAAATATAAGTATTTTAAATAAAAATTAGTCTTTGTATGATATTTTTTCATCAAATAAAATACTTTAATATTAATTCTTTCTGTCTCTTTGTTCTTACTATTTTACACTTTTGTATATATACTGTCTACTTGGACCTTTTTATTAACAGGTGAAAATAAAAATATTTTGTTTTGATTTTTGACTAAAATCTTCTTTCTTTGCTAATCAGAAACTTCATCGGTGTAATAAATCCTATTAATAAACAAGATTCCGAGTAGACAATATATACACAAAAATCATTTAACGATCAAGATGTTCATTTAAAACTACGCTATTTGTAGTCAATATTTTGAGATGCTTGCAGTGGAACCAATATTTAACAAAAATTAATACAGTACAATAAAGAATATATAAACTTCTTATCAGTTTCTAACTATTAAATATTGTTAGGATCGAGAGCGATCCTCTGCATACTTTGTAAAGTTAATTTAAAAATTAAATTAAAATGCGTTAGGAATGTCTAACAGAAAGCAAAGTGAACTGAAGCACGAGAGAAAATGATTCGAAATTAAACGTTCCATGGAACGAACATTTTGAATTTTGTACGTCAGCCTACTGCTCTGGGGGACCCAGGATCGAATCCGAACGGAAATTAACCATATCCGGACTAGCCACCCCCGAAAAATTCCTGGGGATTTTTCGGGGTGGTCAGTCCGAATTTGTCAGACACAGTCCCTCTCCACCCGGCGGCCCCACTGTGGGCCTGGCCGAATCCATAATGGGCTTGGAAAAAAAGGTTCTCTTAGTGCTCAGAGGGCGGAGAGTTTAAAAAAAATTATACGCCGAACTAGTCGCCTTCGATATCCAGCAGAGGTCGCTACTTCGGAGGGTAAAACCATAGACTAATTTTTTAGCGAAGCTAGGAAGACTCAAGGTCTTAGAATATAAGGTTGCCTCATACAGCCGATTTAGCCACTTCCTGCCAGATTCCGGTTATAAATTATCCGTAGTCGAGCCGTGGTCTAGCGACTGCTTCACTACTGTAAGCGAGGGAAGAAAATTTTGTAATTTAACTTTTTTTTTTTTTTAATTTGTTGAGCGTTTTTAGACTCATAATCTTCGAAGGTAAATATATCTATAGTTATTACTATTATTAAACATAATTATGTTGATAATTATATCGATAAAAATTGTTCGGAATTAACAAAAGTGTTCCCAGAACAGTTTGATATTCTGTTGTAGTCTTTACTCTTCGTTCTGTAGAAATTACAGAATATGGTTACGGATAAAATATATTTATTAATAAAATACTTTAAAATACTAAGAATAGTTTTCTGCATGTATAAAAATAGTATCTGCTCAATGAAATGACGACTACAAATAATAAGCTGGCCCGTAACAGGATGGTAACACTTTTAAGATAACCTGCGATGTAAAAAAATATTGTTTATTATTAATTAATATAACTTTTTAAAATATGCATATTTACGCAAATACCTAAATTTTATTATTTTTAGATGCCAGGAGCAACGTGTGCTGTTGCAAATTGTGATAACAGCCATTGTAAAACAAAGTCATTAGACAGGAAAGTCAGTTATTTTAGATTTCCTAAAGATCCAATAATAAGAAGAAAATGGATCCATAACTGTAAAAGAAAAGACAAATTTTATCCTGATTCTTGTCACGTTTGCTCTGATCGTTTCACAGAAAATGATTTTGAGATAAATTTAAAAACTGAATTATTAGGTTTATTGGCAAGACCTAAACTAAAGAAAACTTCACTACCAACAGTAAATTTAGGAAACACAGAAAATGAAAATATTAAGCAGTCAAATGAAAGAAAGAATCGTGTATTAAAAAGAAATGGAAAAAACCTGATAGAAAAACTTTTAGATGTAAATAAACAGGATAAAGGAGAAGAATCTCTTAACAAATGTAACAATTGTAAAACTTTAGAAGATCTTAATTTTAAATTAAAACATGAAAATTCTATTTTAAATATGAAGATTAAACATATTGAGATAAGAATGCAAGCGATCCAAAGAAATCTGAAATTTTGGAAAAGTAAAACTGTCGTCATTCAAAAAGAACATGAAAAATTGAAAAAATAAAAAAGATTTTGTTATATCATATTGAAAGGTATCTTTACAGAAACACAAATATATACGTAATTTGCTGGAGAGAAAAAGATATCAAAAATATGTTTATAACATAACAAACTGTTCTTTTGAAACTTAATTTGTATATACAGTAGAGCGTCGATTATCCTAATCAATTGGGGACTGGGGTTGTTCGGAAAATCGATGTTTCAGATAACCGATTATGCACGAAAAAATATATTACAGTAGAACGTCGATTATCCGCCCTAATTGGGGACTGGGGTTGGTCGGATAATTGAAAAGTCGGATAACCGAAAAGTATGAAAAAATCCATTATTAGTGTAGTATATTATTATATCCCATGTAATTAGTATATTAGTATATTAGTATATCGCTATTAACCTATTTTGCGTTGAATTTTCATCGATGTTAAGCCTAACAAAAATTTTTTAAAATAATAATCGTCGCTATTGTA